AAAAAAAAAAAAAAGATTAGTAAATCTCTTTGTTCAGCCGTTTTCTAAATTAGATAATATTACAATAAATTGGTTGCAATTAGATATCTGATTTCAGCTACAAAATACTAACAAAATAAATTTCAAAAGAACTTTCGAAAAAAAAAAAAAAAAAAATGATACATGGCTGCAAATTAGCTAAATCCAATTTCAACCGCAAAATACGTAGAAAGAAATTTCAAAGAAAAACAAATTCAATAGTGTATATTGTAATTTTTTAAGTTACACTAAAGGCAACACATTTTTATAACTCAACTCTCTATATTAAAAACAAGTGAGGAAGGTAACACAACACAGAAAAACAAAACTTGGGCTACAGCTATCACAGGCCTATGCAAAATTTATCCGACTTTCATCACTGCCAATTTCAGTGCAAAAGGGCACACACTAAAACAGAAATTTCGGACCCGTCTTTTGCTGTAATAACCGCGCAGTGCCGCTATTGTGCTTGTCGGGACATGTGATGAATAATAATCTTCAATGGGCTTTTGTGTGCGCATGAAGTCGAAGGATTCTCCTTAGTGACAGTAGAGTTTGATCACAGAATCTGAACCTGCAGTAAACAACCATGGTTGTCTGGGGTGGAACTTCAGATCCAAAACTCCTGCAAAAAACACGTTATTACACATATAACATTACATGAAATACGTATAAATTCATAAAGATCGACATTGGGCGATTTATTATACATACATGTATATAATACCACTACCACTCAAAACATAAATTATTTCAGTTATCAAGTTGAGTAATCAGGCCTTTCTTAAAGTAACTAATTTCCATAAAGTTAGAAACAAAACAAAACACATACACATATGCAATTAGGCTTCTTATTGATGTCTGCACTCAAATTTGCAGACACGTGTTAAGAAAAAATAAATAAATTACCTCGTCCATCAGCACTCGAATGCCCTCGAAGAATCTCCAGAGGAACAATCAGAGGATTCTGATTCAGATCAGAGTACACCATGCCATGAAAAACATATGCTGTGCAATCATCAGAGCATGAGGCGAATAAAGGGTATGACCGATGGTAGGCGACCCCAGTAATATCCTTCGGATGACACCTGAAAATTTTGGATCAACGTGGGGAGATAATTTAGAGAACATACGAGTTGGCATCTTTTGCAGCAGTAAATTGATAATGCGTGCTTACGAGAAACATTTCCATAAATTATACTGTTTTATGATTAAAGCTAACCCAAGCAAAATTGGTAGGTATATATATCTCCAAGCATCCTTCAGAGTAAAGAGCATACAACTTCAACAAGAAAACCTCTGAAATTATTAAGTTAAGGAATTCAGCCCACTGTAAAATGACGAACTTAACCCTCCCCAACAATTTCAAACAACCATTGAAAACTTTTTTAATTGGTGATAGTTATTGCTTAATTCTTAGCTGATGATGGTTGATGTCGATAACATCAAGTGAAGGGAGTAAAGTAATTTAGTCATCGATATAAACTGAGTCCTCCCCTACAACTTTAACCTGACACACTTTTCAAGGGTGCTTACACATGTGATGATAAATTCATTGACTCTTTAATAATGTGCTTCCAATCTTTATGAATTATGTCAAAAGTCAACTAATTTTATCTTGCGAAAGAACATTTTAGTAATCAACTACACGAACTTAGCATTTTCCAAACACTTTCCAAATACCAAAGAATTTCAAAGGAACTTTTCTGGTTGCATATTTAATTGCATTTGCATACCTGAGGACTCTGTAAGGTCGAGATGACAGATCCATGTCAAACCAACACAACTTTCCATCCTTGCTTCCAACAATTGTGTTATCGCCTGCATTAAGTACAGTTAAGCACTGGGCACCAGAAACTATTTCTATGTCAAAGTGCCTGCCTTCAGTATCTGCATTCGTGCATGTGCGTGTTGAGAGAGAGTGTGTGTGTGTGTGTGTGTGACTGCGAGGTTGAGAGAGAGAGGGAGAGTGACAGACCGCCAGGGTGGATAGCTATGGAAGAGATTTCTCGGACTCCAGCATCAAGCTTCTTAACGAGCTTTTGCTTTAGTAAGTCATAGACGCGAACATCCTTCTTTGATGCCGTAAAGAATATTGAACGAGTAGGATGAAAAGCCGTTGACACAGGAATTCCTTTTGTCTTGAACGGAATACGTTGGGTAAGTCTCTTCGAGAGCTGGTGAATCAACACTGATCTTGATTCACGTATAGCTAAGTTAAAGAAATGACAATAGTCCAAAACAGATTTAAATCTTTACTGTTAAATTTTCTCAATTCATCCCAGTAATGAAAAATCATATATTCGTCCTGGGAGCATCACATAATTTGATATGCAAAGCTAATCAAGATTCAGTCCATTACACAACGCATATAAAACTTTCAATATAAATATAACACCATCTTGAACAAACCAACGTATTGATGGCGCGAAAAGGATATCAGATGGCATAAGTGTCGAGAAATAGTCTCCTTTACGGTGCCATTCCACTTTAGTGACAGACTGCAATTCAATAATATCAAATTAAATTCCAGAGGGGAATATCATAATACATCACTACCAGCCTCGAATCCATCATAACCTCCAAAAATAGAAGGCGACACCCAACAAAACACAAAACTACCTTAAAATGCTTCAACCTGATCCCTCCATGCCTATCATCCTGACCCCAGTCAACAATGGATGCACTAATACCTGAAATAAGAAGTTGTAGATAAGTTGATAATGTCAGGCAAGGAGTACCCACATTCTTACTCATACCGACCAGACTCTTCTGTTGACTTTTGGGGATCAACACGGAGAAGATCCTCTATCTTTTTCTCTTGTTCATCGGTTCCACATCCAGTGTTCAAAATAAACATGTCTTGGCCCCTGCAAATTTTTTCAGGGTTTAGTGAACAAAATCACTGAAGAAAAGTCAATTTCAGATACATGACATTTATGTTACAATTATTTCTTACGCTGCTACAGCCAAAAGCGGAAGCTCAGGCAGAGGATTCCATGCAACTTGCTCAATATTCTCTCCAAAGTCCCATGTCCATAAACACCTTCCCGTTTCAACTTCCCAAATGCGAACAGTTCCATCCTTAGAACCTTAAAAAATTAAGCAGGTTAAAACCCAATTAAAACTAGAAATGTCTCATATAACTCACAAGTTTACAATTAATGCCAAACCAGATGCAATCCACTGGCCCGTGGGTTCGGTACAAATGGTTGTGACTGGGCCTTTATGGCCTTTGTACTCGAGATAACAAGTCGTTGGATACGGTCTAAGATCTTTACGGCTTGGGAGCTTCGGTTTTAATGACTCAGGATCAATATTAATCTGAAAAAGTAGAGCAAGTAATACTTTGGGTCATATAATAATTCGTAGACCATGAAAGTTTTATCTGATGAGGTTTTGCAAGCACTCTTCGGTGAACATACACGTTTCTTGCGAACACGTGGGCAAAGATAGAGATCCAAACAACGATCAAAAGTTTCTTGGACAGCTTTCTCATACGTGGGAACACTTCTCAAGGATGTGAACCTATCCACATTTAAAGGTTAGTGTATCAAACTCCTAAGGTGGATCAATTTCTAAAAGGAAATATCATAAATATAAAAGGATAAATAGGACAGGTGGGTACTGTTTCGGAATAAACTTAGGTCGGTCTTCCTCAAACATGAGCTGGTAAGAGTTTATTTCTTCTGGCGTTGGGACGTATTCTGGAGAAGGGTTGTAAGATTCCTCATGGCCTGAGATGAATTTACATCAGAAAGCAAAGATAATACTCAAAATCAAATGAAAATATTATTAGCAACAGATAAGTACATGTAATATAATCATAAGGATATCCTGTCTCTATATAAGCAAGTCACCTGGCAATTTAGGCTTTGGTGCAGCAATATATGCCAATCCCTGTCTTTCCACAGAGGTGGAATCATCCCACAAGGAGTACAATTTAGGCTCTTCCTTAGGCTTATCATCAAGTTTAATCCGACCCTCCCTGATCGCCCTGATATACCGGACAACCTGTAGTTTCAAAGAGTTATAGATTAGAACACACACACACACACATATGTATGAAGTACAGATCCTAGAAGCCTTAACAAGCATTATTTTGCAATATAAGAATTTGGTCTTTTGAGAATATTAAACTATTGCAAGGCTTTGAGAAGATGAAATGAGGACAATAACCACTAAGCAAACTTCCTTGAAAATTCTGCTTGTATGATTATTTTTAAGAGTGAAATCGCAATTTCAAGTGATCTAGGGGACACAACATCATATCCCACCATGAGATAAGATCTTGCCAAAACATAAATAGGCAGCAATAAAGCTTAAACATTAAATCATTACAAGGATCAGCAGGTATATTCAGACTCCATGTACAGTGTATAGTGAGTTTCAATATAATGATACCTCCGGTAATTCTTCCCCAGAGAGGAATGTATATTTCTATGGGCATCAACTTTTTACCTTCGCTCCCATCAACCTTATTTTAAAAGAGTTTTATTATTCATTAATTTATTCTTGGTGTGTGTTTGTTTCCGCAAGAAAGAAAAACTTGTTTGGAAAACTGAAAATGAACTTTGAGAAAAACCTAGATGTAGGAAGGAAAATGGAACTTAATTAACGATGGCTTAGGTAAAATATTATTGGTGTCATTGTTGGTTGGATGTATAAGATATGATGATGGTGTACTCTGGATATGATAATATAATAATGATGATACTTGTAATGATTTGAAATAATGAGACTGACGCTGCGAGAATCGCCTAGGATAAAATTTTCATACCAACAAAAGAGAAAAGGAAGATTGAAGTGGAAACTTTACAAGAACATTTTCGATACCGAGTACTCAATCTTACAAATCATGCAAAATCAGTAAGTTTGAAGCTATCCACCTTTTTACTCTCCCATTTTGAGGGAATGAAACGCCTCTTTGGTTCTGGTGCACCTGAAAGTGGTTGCCCAGCTCCATCCCACACAAACCAATCAACAAAAGGCTGTACAGAGTACAAGGAATATAAGAAGTCCCTATAGTAAGGAAGAGATAACACAATCTGCACAAGATTTGGAATATAAAAATTATGGCACTGAGAAGTGGATAAAATGAGAATACCCACAGCATATGGATCAAAATCAGCATGAGGTGCCTTTCCTTTCAGTACTCTGCTTATCATTTTTAACTCTTCTTTAGTCAACTCTACTTCCTCATCATTATACTCATCATATATCTTACGCCTGAACATAACAGACAAAAAATGTTGATATTACATCACAAGCATCCCATCGAAATATGTTGTAGTCTTGTAGAGGCTTGGAGAAAGCAGTTCAGGCAAGAGTTACAAAAACTTGAATTCAAATATACTGTCCATCTCATCTTTAGTGGTAAACTCACCAACTCTTTGAGTCATCAGCCCTTGCAAGATGAAAATCTAGCATGCTCTGTCGTTCTTTCTTCTTGATCTTCTTCCCAGATATATCATATCCAATATGCTCCTCATCCTTGTACCACTCAAGAGGAACATTTCCGACGGTGTTACGTGGTGCAACCTAATTCACCACAAAGAGAGATATTTTGACCATACTCATCAAAATTAACAAAAAGGCAAATTCAAGTAAATTATTGATTCCTCATTGCATAAACTTAGTCATCAATCATCATGTAGAAAAACAAGCAATACAGGCAAAAAAAACAAATTAAGTAATATAAAGCTGTTAGATTAGTGTTTACAGGCAGAAAGAAGGTATGGGAAACGAGGAAAGTCAAACACACCTCATCTTCAGATGAATCACTCTCCTCAACTACTTCACGAGAGTCGTCGCTTTCACTCTCATTGTCATCTCCGCTAAAACCATCTCCACGTGAATGGTCCGCATCATCACTAGCACCAGTGGGCACCTCATCATCACTTGATTGAAAGACATCCTGCCATGATTTTTTTTTTTTTTAAAAAAGGTTTGAAGTAAGAAATATCAACAAGATGAAACAGAAGTTAATGGTCGGACAAAGTACAAATGCATTCACTGCCTAATGCATTTACAGATAAACGAGAACAGAAGAACTTCATAGTGGAACTTGTCCACAACTACTACTAAGAAAAATTCTAGCTTTCTATATCTCACAAGCACCTATTATAGAAAAAGTAGATAAGAATGCAATCTATTATAGCTATGTCTTAAATATACCTAACAGTATAATAGAGTAACAGAGAAATTTACAAAGCCTCTTAAATCCTCATTATCCTGATCCGTGCCTTCACTGAAGGCCTTAGCAATAGAATCTAAGGGATACCATATTACACTCTGCAAGTAACTGTATTTAACTACAATCAAGTGAAGCAACCAATTACCTAATAATCAACATTCAAAAGACTACAAATGTTCAACCGCATCATCAGAATATGCTGACTCATATTTTAAGCAGGTATATTCTGATGCAAAACATAAATACCTATACTGTTTATGTTCAACAGTCTTAATTTCAACTCTATGAACTTAAGCATTGTGAATATGAAGAAAACTCTTCAAGAAGAATAACATATGCAAAACTGAAGATTACCACCATGTACCTCATCCTCAGAGTGTTTACTTTGCTCAGACCCAGATTCACTTGATGAGCCACCTTCCTCAGATGGACTCTAAATAAAATACAAAATAAGGCAAAACTATCAAATACAATTCTTGCTTAACCATATGGAAACACTTTTCACTTGACACAGCATTTTACTACTTGGCAAAATTGCATTTTTAGTCTTGCTGGTAGCACGTCGTAGCATTTTTAGTCCCAAGTTTTTAAATATTTGTCTTTTTGATCGTGTAATTTAATATTTGCTAATAAAAAATCCATCCAAAAGATTTTTTATTAGCAATTTAAGTCCTATAATTTGATATTTTGTTACATTTTCAGTCCCAAAGGACTGAAATTGCGCTGAATTTTAAAATCATAGGACCAAATAGCAAAAATGTTCAATTCTTAGGACTAAAAACGCCACTGGATCAAACCAACAGGACTAAAATTGCAATTTTGCCTTACTACTTTGCATCTGTATCCAAAAACTTTCTGTTCCCAACTCTTAACTAATAAATTATATCACCGTTCTCGAAACCCATGCGTTAATTATAAACCTCCTGCAAAAATTTAAGGTAAAGCTTGTCCACCCACGCAAGTAATTGAAAGGTACAACCCAAAAATCCCAACCCCATTGTAGGTGGAATATTCAACAACACCACCACCAACATAGCCTTTTAGTCTCAAGCAAGTTGGATATGCTAGAGATGAAACCCAAGAGAATCAATGGTAAGAGAAACACAAAACGGGCTCAAAACAAAAGGAAGAGATTGGAGCAAAAAAAAAAAAGAGCAAAAGTCACGGTTCTGACACGTGGAATATTCACTCAAAACAATTTGTTCTCTCGAAAGTTTCAATCTCTGCAACTAAAACATCATTTCTCGCATCAAGCTATGAACTGTTTCGTCTTACAGTTTCAAGCAATAGTGCAGCCAGACTCCAACTTAAACACACAATTAACGTTTAACAGCAAAAACGCGAAGCCCACATAAAGTGAAAAACAAATTAAAAATTTACAGAGTACCTCTTCGTCATAATCATCCGAGCCAGAATCAAATGGTGAATCTTCAGAACTCTCAGCTGCTATCTCCACCTCCTTAATGCTTCTCAAGTTCTCTTCCGCGTTTTTCTCCGTCAATTTATCCGCCATTTTCTCCCTCAACTCAGCCGCGTTTTTCTTGTCCTTGGCCTTGCGCTCCGATTTGGCGGAGCCGTTTTCATTCCGCTGCCTCGTCCCCATTTTGGGTCTTTGGACGTGCGGGGACAAGTAATTTCAGGGTTTTATTTGGGTTTTAGGGAACGCTTTTGCACTAAGATGGCATCGGCGCAAATTCGGTGGAAAGAAGGGACAAATTAGGCAATTAAAGGTGAGTGCCAAGGTAAAATTTAAGAGGATGATTGGATATAAAAAATTTGGGTTTTGTTTGGATTTTTTTGTTTGGTTTGGTTAGTTTTGAAAAAATTGGTATGGTTAATTATTAGTGGATATATTAAAATAATATTTAAAATATAATAATTAAAAATGATTTGATGTAAAGTAGGAGAGAGAAGTTTTGAAGTGATGGTTAGTTAAAATTATGTGAGTTGATGAATAGTGAATTAAGGTTGATGTGGTGTGCATGAATGATTGATAATATTATTTAATTATATTGATAATATGATGATAATGGGGTTGAGTTAAAGTTGAGTTTAAATAAGTAGTTGAGTTAAAAATGTTGGGATATTTTTGAGAATTTTTGTATCCAATCATGCTATAAAGGCTTATACGTGTTTATAAGTTTTTTTTCTTTATTGGTTTTTTTGTTAATTAAGATTAATTTAAAAAATAAAAAAAATATGTTTGGTTAAGTTTAAGTGAAATTTTGAATTTGTATTAAAATAATATTTAAAATAAAGTAGTTAAAGTTAATTTGATGTAAATTAAGAAATAAATGATTGTAAGTAATGGGTAGTTAAAATTATGTGAATGGATGAATAGTCCATTAAAGTTGATTTTGATGTGTAAAGATGATTAGTTGATATTATTTAATTATATTGATAATATTGAGTGATTAAGTCGACGCTACCCGTAAGCGTACTACCCGCTTTCATTGTTCACCAATAGAGGTCATCCACGTGGATATCTACGTATTTCTGCTTCTCTTTTTCTTTTTTGTCGTGTTTTCATTTAAAAATTGTTTCAACTTGTTTTTAATTTGTTGACAACTAATTGCTAACTATACCATGGTTACTTTTTTCATATCAAAAACCATAGATCTACTCCAAAATTTAAAACACAGATTTGAAAAATTGTTCTGACTTCAAATCGCCCCAAAAACTCCAAATCGCCGGACTTCAAAAACTCCAAACCCCAAAAACTCCGACTTCAAATCGCCAGACTTCAAGAAATTGCAGCATCCACTCATCGCCCGACTTCAAGAATATGTGAGTTGTTGCTTTGGGTTCGTCACTCTTTGTTTAATTGATTTGTAATTTTAGTTCTGTGATTTTTGCGATTAGGGTTTGGAGCTTGAAATTAGATTTATTTAATTGGTTGTTTAATGAGATTTTCTTATGTTTTTATGCAATTAGAAGTATTATATGTTTTTTTGTTTGATTTTTTTTCCTTGTATGCAAGGTGATTCCAAGTTCTTGTGATGTTATTTCATCTGTTTCACTGTGGTGAAGATAGTTAACGGGTTTTAAAAATGGAAATGAAAAAAAAAAATACCCAAATTGATGTTAGGGTTCCTTTTGTTACGTATGTGTTTTCTGTTTTGGTTTGTGGTTGTGCCGTGAATCTTACTTTTGTGTTTTGCGGAGAAGGGTGGCGTGCAGGGCCCTCTAGACGAGTTCGACAGGGCTATCGAGCTCGAACAACGCCAGAGGGCATGTAATTATTCTTGTAAATTATTCGAATTAGTTGAAAGGAGGTAGAAGCATATTAGTTGAGAAGTAGCCAATGTTCATATGAAATTATTTAAGAATATCGTGATTGATGGAAATTTTGATTTTTCCGGTGTTAGCTTGCTGGTTTTCAGATGTTTATTTTGTGTTAGTACTTTAAATTTTTACTAGTTTCCTCTTATATGGATGATGGTGTTAGCTTAGAAAATTTGGTCTAATACATCGAATAAACGATTGATTATTGTGTAATGATATAAAAGCTTTCTGTTAGGTAATTAGACCTTTGGGATAGAGGATTATCATTGTACTATCTTGAGTTTCATGCTAACGCTACCCTCTGCATGTGTAATTCGTGATAGAAAGAATAGAAATTAGGGAATAATTTTTCATTTTTAATTGTTGTGAAGTA